CGTCAAGCCCAAAGGTTCATGGAGCTCGTGAAGGAAGGCAAGACAACGCGGTTCTGGCTTGAGGATGGGATACTTTATGCCAAAGGGAACCGTTTGTACGTGCCCGCATGGGATGGATTTAGAAGGGAGATTCTAAGGGATTGCCATGATAGCCGTTATGCGGGTCACCCAGGTACGCATCGCACACTTGCCTTAGTACATGAACGGTTCTATTGGCCTCGCATGCGGGAAGACGTGGAGACATATGTAAGGACTTGTCTAGTTTGCCAACAAGACAAGACCGAGCAAGACCACCCGCATGGCTTGTTATCACCCTTGCCTATTCCGAACGCCCACAGGACAGTGTTTCGATGGATTTCATCGTGAGCTTGCCCGTTTCCGAGGGTTGCACCAACATACTTGTTGTGGTAGACCGTTTGTCTAAGTATGCGGTCTTCATACCCGCCCCAAAAGAGTGCACCGCAGAGATAACGGCCAAACTCTTTCTTAGGCATGTGGTGAAATATTGGGGGTTGCCTACATCGATCATAAGCGACAGGGACTCGAGGTTCACCGGCCGTTTTTGGCAAGAACTCTTTCGTTTGCTTGGGACGGAGCTCAAGATGTCTACATCTTTGCACCCGCAAACGGATAGGCAGACGGAGTGCATCAACGGCCTCTTGGAGTTGTACCTTAGGCACTATGTGGTAGCCAACCAGAAAGATTGGGTACGTTTGCTAGACGTTGCCCAATTTTCCTATAACTTGATGCGGAGTGAGAGCACGGGCAAAAGTCCATTTGAGATTGTCCTTGGTTTCCGACCGACTACGCCTAAGGACATTCTTGGAGGCTACAAGGGCAATAGCCCACCCGCATACAAGTTTGCCAAAGATTGGCAAGAACGGGCCGACGAGGCAAAACTCTGTTTGGAGAAGTCGGCCGCGCGCATGAAGAAATGGGCGGATAAGAAACGGACCCGTCGCGAGTTTGAAGAAGGCGACCAAGTCTTGGTGAAGCTTTATGAGCATGGACGGAGCCGTGGTCTACACAAGGGTCTCATGCGCAGATACGAGGGTCCTTTCACCGTTCTTAAGAAAGTGGGTTCGGTTGCTTACAAGCTGGAGCTACCCGAGGCCTTTTCAAGGCTTCATCCAGTCTTTCATGTGAGCCTACTTAAGCCATACCGTAAGGACCCAGAGGACGAAGAACGGAACGTTTCCTCAAGGGCACCAGCTGGCGTACGCGAGCATGAGGAACGGACCGCAGAGGAGATCCTTTCTAAGAGGATCGTTCGAGGCAAGAGCGGGGCAGCAACTAAAGAATACTTGGTGAAATGGAAGAATTTGCCAATGAGTGAGACGAGTTGGGAGCCAATCGAGAAGCTTTGGCAATTCACCAAATTGATCGAGGACTTTGAGGAGAATCGTGCACCCGTTCCTATCAACATTGCCTTCGAGACTTAGGTGCATCGGGGCGATGCGCCATTTTGGTGGGGGAGGATGTCACAGACAGTTTTTCTTTACCACGAATACGGGTGGTTTGCTGCGAAACAGGCCATTTTCGTAGACGGACATGGGACGGAACGGTCTAGAGCCTTGTGGAATTCTCCGGTCAAATCTTGAAGACTCTGGAATTTTCTAGAGAGGCCCGGAACTCTCTATAAACAGGTGGAACCGTGTGGAAGCTACCCGAGTTTGCTAGAACCGTGTGGAAGATTCTAGAGACTCGTAGATATTTTGGACTTAGAATATTTTATGGTAGGAATTCTCTAGAATTCCATTATTTTATTATGTACATAAAATTCTCTAGAATTCTTTGGGACTTGGGGTTTGCCTATAAATACCCCATGCCCCCTTCATTTGTAATCCATCCAAGCTTTGAGTAGAATTCTCAAGCATTCCTTAAACTCTCTTGTGCCTTCATCGTTCTTTCACTTTCAATCTTTCTTAAGTTTTTCTTGGCCTCCGTTCTTTAAAGCCTTGCCTAGCTTTGCACGCTTTTGGGGTCTTAAGGCTGAGCTAGCACTTGATTGTTAGTTGTTTTGTGCTAGTGCCGCACGGCCGTTACTTTGAAAAAGTAAGCCCGTGACACATTGAAGAAGATAAAGGAGACGGTAGCCTACAACAGTGCAACTCTTAGCCTTGTTTTGTATTTAACATTATCATATAGTTATGGGTAAAAAATCGTCCAATATTTGGATTTTTTTATTTTTAAAATTTTTTAAAATCAACTTGGTTTTTCTACTTCTTTGGATTATTAGTTTGAAGGTTTTTTCAGTTAGTTTTCTTTTTTACCATTTAAACTTACCATTAAAGGGCAATCTTCTAGTCAATTAGTTTTATCTATAAATTTATAATTTTACATAAAAAATTATCGTTAAATGATGAGATGATGTGGTTGCGACATATGGACTTGACCATCTAACTTTTCACCACGTAGATTAGCCTATCTAAATTCGCCCCATGTGTCCGATTGAAAACTCTACCTTAACATATGTAGTAGATTTGTATTAAAGATAAAAATCAGAACTGGACAATTGGGATAGAGGGTATAAAATGATTCCCAAAAAAGAAAAAATTAGTAATAAGCTATTTACAAATTAATTGTTAATATTAATTTGTTTATTGACAGTAAAAACTAAGAAAACAGAAATGGCTTTCTCGTAAACAAAGGGTGTTGCTGCTGAGCGCCCTAATTTTTTCCTTTAAGCGCCTTAAAAAGATGTAAAAAGATAATTTTACCTTTAATTTTCATTTTTATTTTTTTAAAAAAAGGGGGGCGAGGGAGAATTGTGCTAGCCTTTCACGTCTGGCGCAGGAGAAACACGCCACCCCTTTGCAAGGTGGGGTGAAAAAATCTCGCCTCCCTTTACAGGGGGGAGAGAAAACCTTCGCCTCTGGCGAAGGTGTGGCGCCCGTTTTGGGCGCCACCTTTGTCCGGAATGGCTAGCAAATGCTCACCAACTATTCAATGTTTAAAACGGCGCCACCCATTTTATTTTTAATTTAATTATTTAATTATTTTTAAATATATTTAATTATTTTCATTTAAATTATTAGTTTAATAAATTTATTTAATTGATGTATTTATTTAATTTATTTAATTCATGTATTTCATTTAATTTATTTATTTATTTTATTTGAGTGTTTGTTTGGTAGTTTAATATTTGTTTAGAAAATGTATGTTAATTGGTAGTTAAATGGATAATTTATCTTAATATTTAGGGTTAATTGGTAGTTAAATGGATAATTTATCTTAATATTTAGGGTTTATAGTATTGGTAAATAAATCATGTTTAACTTAAATATTTAAAGAATGTTTTTCAATTATGTATTATGTTCATTAGTTATAGTTGTTATATTAAATAGATAAATTTTTAGTCAATTATGTGTTCAGTTTGTTATATGTTTAAATTATATTAATTACGTAATATGTTCGTATGAAATAGTTTTTTGTGGTTAAATATGTGTTTAATTTGTTGTTAGTTTAGAAAGAATTGGTTAATATTCATAAGTCATAGTTGTTATATTAAAATGATAAGTTTTTGTTAATAATGTATTTAGCTTGTTATTAGTATATATTATGTTAATTAATTATCTTTAAAGTATAACATCATTATATCGGATTATATATTATGTTTTTATTGATAATGAATTATTTGTGGTTTAATATTATTATGATTAATTTAAGTTATGATATAATTCATTTTTAATTTGTGCATGATAGGTTTGATCAGGAGGATGACACTGATTATAGTTCGGCTTTTGCTACAAACGAGACTTTTGCCGAATGGCCTGACGCTATTGCATATGCGAAGGATATTGCAAATATGTACAACATGGAGTTAAGTATATCCTTGTATAAGGATAGTCATACTATATTCCTTTGTTATAAAGGAGACCAGTATCAAGGTCAACAGGTGGACGAAACCATGCGCGCCCGACCCAATACAAAGACATAGATGACAGGATGCCAGTTTCGTATTATTGTCTACAAAATATGTGATATGTGGACGATTCGTGTATATCCCGGTCTGTGGGGAATGCACAACCATTCTTTGACAGATCCGCCTCGGGTTAGGCGCGGACTGAGCGCAGAAGTGAAAGAGCTCATTGAGGAGTATTCTAAAGTTGGGACTAAGGCAGTTCACATTTTACGGGCGATATGGACACAATTTCCTGATGAAAATGTTACCTCACGCCAAACAAGTCTACAACTACATAAATAAATTGCATAAGGAGGAGTTTCCAATTCTGGATGACATGGCTTTTACTGAGTTTTTTCTAACAAAGGTTTTAACGAGTTATTATCCTAAGAAACTTTAACATATTTTATATTTCATATTTTTTATTTTAAATTTTTTCAAAAAAAATTCTCAGGACTACTAGATGCACCAATGATAAATAAATATTTTTTAATTTAAATATTTAGAGGATGATAACTTTTTAGTTGGTAATAAATGATAATTTTTCATTAATATATAAATAATTAGTGTATTTTTATTATCTATTTATAAATAATTTTTTTGGTTGTAAATTCATAAGTTGTAGTTGTTATTAAATGTTAACTTTTTTATTTGAGTTTAAAAAATTCTTTATAATTAAATAATAAATTTACTATACAAAATTAAGCAACATTCTCCAAATATTTAAGTTAAAAATTAATTTATTTAACCGCCAAACAAATAAATAAATATACTTAAATAAATAAATAAAATAAATTAAAGAATTAAATAAATATATAAATTTTCAAAAATAAATTAAAAAAAGGGTGGCGATCGGTTGGACCGCCACCCAATCGGTTTGGCGAGAACCGAGGGTTGGCGCATGATTTGTGCTCCACCCCCTTTTCAGGGGCACAAAATTTGCTCGCTACCCCAAGAACAGTGGCGAGAAAAGTGCACGCGCCAGCTGTGAAAGACTGGCACAAAAATGAGTTGTCCCCTTCCTTTTTTAAAAAATAAATAAATAAATATACGAGAACAAAATAGTCTTTTTAAATTTTTTTTAAGGCGTTTTGATAAAAAAATTTTGGGGTTCAGTAGGCTGGCAGTAAACGATCTGATACACGTACAGTATCCCACACTATACCAGTAGTTTGCGCCGGCTTTAAACCAAAGGAGTCGCTCGGCGGCGTAGCAGATATTTCGCCGGGACCTCTGACACCCACCGCTGCGTGGTCTAAAACAACACCACCATTAAACTTCGTGTACGGAGCAAGGAAAAAATAAGGTATGCATAATTCTACTGCTAACATTAAAGTGAACTTCATATACCATAAGAATCGATCCACCGTTTGCTGGCCAGTATGTGCACCGTTGCCTGTTACTATGTCAAATCTTTTTTACGAGTGTAAGAACCGGCAAAACCTTCCAACCGGTATCAAAAGGCCACACGCGGGGATTTTCCATCTATTTACCACCGGATTCTGCTCTTTCCCCGCGGCGGCCCTCTTCCCTCTTCTTCTCTACCACTGTAAATCAATTTCAGCCATCTTCTACTCTCGCTTTATTGGATAATTTCCAAAAATTATTATTTGAAAAGGTAGTTGACATTTGGTAATCAGTCACACTGAAAATTTCTCCCAATCCATTCTGTCTCACCAAAATTGAGTACCAATCAAAGCTCCTTCTGACATGAATGCGTGTGTTTGGCGAAAGAGATGGAGGTTCTGTTTGATGAATTCATGTTTTCGTGTTTTTTGTTTTTTTGAAAATTTTCAAATATCTTGCAATTCATTTCGTTTACTATTGATCTCATTTGTTGCATTATTGGGTTTACATTTGCACGTATGCGTTCATTGCATAATAAGTGTTTGATTTTATGCCTAGCTGAATGGTTAAAAATATCCTGTTTGTGCTTTTACGCCTAAATTTTGTTGGAGCCTATTGAGTAAGCACGAATTAGCTCAATCTAGAGTGCACATTTTGCACACTTCAATTTAAATTTACAGGTTTTGTGGTTCTTTGCCCACAAAAAAAGGAAGTTTAAATTTTAATTGCCGGCTACTTCCTTCCTTGTTGGCCATTTACCTTTCTTTCCAGTCCCTCCTTAAACTTCCTAGAAAGTTCACAGTACGCAGACGCGGAGAAGAAGCACAGCCATAGACAATCACAGTAAACAAACTTTGACCTTAATATTCAAAGAAGTGAACAGTGAGATACTAAATATGTTGTTTAAAATTGATAAAAAAAACCCATGTTATGTTTGATTTGATGCGTTGTAAGCTGAAGTGATAAAAGGTAAGCCATATACATATTCCTTTGCGGAGCATTATAATTTAGCACACATTTTATGCGTGATTCGAAAACTTGAAATCAGTGAATTAGTGGTTGCTGGGGTTTGAATAGTTGCATGCTTAGACAGAGTTTGTAATAGAACGGGGTATAATTTTTAGTTCCTACTGGAGATTAGTTTGCGTGCGGATGTTCGCATATAAGGTATATGACTTCAGGCCTACGTAAGAAATGCCTTCTACTTTGCTCTGAATTTCTTTGTAGGATTATTTGTTGTTGGTATATCAGCTTTTTTTTTAAAAAAAAAGCATGCTGGTTTGGCATTTGTGAAGTGACCAGACTTGGCAAACGCTCATAATCTGTCAATGCTACCGATGCTGAACATAGCAAAAGGAGTAATAACTAGTTAAGTCATGAAACTTTTAAACTTTTGTCACCGAAGTTGTCAATGCTATGTTTAGTAGTAAGAAGCTATAATGGTTTACATATTACCTCAGTGGGCCTTTATTCAATATATTCTCTGCGGAAACAATAATCAATTAAATATTTTCTTTTATTTATTCAGGGTTACAACTTCTCCGAGTTAGACCGCACCTTGTGTGGTCCTTGACACTTAGTATGTATATATATGCAGGAATTTGCTTTTGAGAAATGATGAGTGCAATTGGATGAATATTCCATTCCCACGTGGTTGTAACCGAAACCCTTCTTCTTTGATCGTCTCCTCAGTACAAATTTGTGTGGTTGTAACTGAAACCCTTCTTCTTTGATCGTCTCCTTAGTTCAAATTTGGCTGTTGAAGCATTCCAGAATTATAGTTCTCCATATGAAACTTTGCTTGCTTTGGGACTTTTGTAACAAAATTAATTGTAAAAGCAAGTTGCTGTGTGGTTTGGAATGAACTTATTATTACTAATCATAATATGAAAGTCCTTTCTTTTGGGATAGTAGATATCTAGTTTCATCACAAAATAAGATTCTTTCATTTTTGCTGTGAAATGGCATGTACTATTGAGAACTTGTCTAGTAGCCTTGGGTGATGAAAATGCGAGTGTCACTTTTTAGTTTTGCTCTTGCAGTGTTCTTTTGAAGCACCAACTAAATTCTTCTTCATAAAACTTCACAAAATGATCTCTGTAGGTAAAAAAACCTTGCCTTTTCAGGCTTGCAAAGTTGTGCATACATTAAAGGCATGAACTTTGTTTTAAGCAGAAAAGGCTTATGGTTCTGAACGCTTTTGCCTATTTTCTTATACTTGTGATTGTACTTGTGGCCTAAGCTGAAGTTGGAAAGCTTTCTTGTGGCCCCATGTAGGTTATTTTGTTTGCAATTGCAAGGAAGGGCCTTGCATAGTAAGAGGGTGGCCGTAGAGATAGATTTGTGGAGATAACTGAACTGGAAGTCTTTCGTTTGTTGTGTTTTTCTTTTCTTAATATTTTCTGATAATCAGGATGTAATATATGAAAAGGTTTTGTTTTGTGCATGTTATAAATCCTGATAGATTATGATTCGGATGTTCGAAATATGAATATTACTCTGCATCTGTTTGCGAGTACATAAAAACAATCATTCCTTAATCATAGTTTTCGTGTTAAGTGTAGTTATCCTAATAAGTTTGCAAAATGCATCACAAACTGTGTAAAAGCATTGCTGATTTAATATAAATGGTTTGAAGCCCAGCTTGGAAATTTTGCATTGTATACATTTTCAGGAGTAATATGTGATTTGATTCATTATCTGTTGATGAAAATTTCTCAAATATTTCTTCAATGGAATGTCTTTAACAGATGCCTTTTAATGTTCCTCCTTCATGGCATTTTTTTTTTTTTGGGTATCCAGTTCTTTGAGGGGACAATGTTGGCTATACAGCTATCTGAATGGCCAAATTGAGAAACTTGTGACCTCTTTCTTCCCTTAAATCAAATTTTATTCAATATACTCAAAAAGGCCATTTCGTCCATTTTCTTATAGCATCACAAAGTTGATTTTGGACTATATGTCTGCTTATGTAACTAAAAGGACATCACTCTTCTAGTTCAGTAGCTCGGTATAAGTTTTGAAATGAACAGTCATTCAATGCATCCCCAGTATTGTTAAATGCATGTGTAGAATTCTATCCTGGAGTATCATTAGGAATATCTGGTTAAAACACTGCAAATCTCGGAACCTCTGTCATTTTACCAGTCGTTTTTTCGTGGCTGGCACAACATCTATTTCTTTAATTAGCGCTTGAAATTTCACCTTTGTGTGAAAAGTTTATGTCCCTTACTCTGAGTTAGTTAAACCATTCGTTATTCAGCTTGGTAGTTCAAGTTGTTTTCAGCTTTCTCCAATTAGTTGGTTGATGTAATGATGGAACAAATTAGTTTTTATCAAGCCTGGGTTATCTAAGGCCAAGTAGTTCAAGTTGGCCTTGCTTTTCTTGGAGAAAAAGATATGTGACATTTATTTATGAAGAATAAGCTTTCTTTTCATAAAGTTGCTCTATTTCGTTCAAAGATATGAACAGATGTGCCATAGAGACCTTGCATGCCGTACATTTGGTATCGATTTACCTGTGAGTGTAATTTATGGAGCAAAAAGGATTCGATAGTGTATTCAGATTTCAGGCACTTTTATGCAGGTTGAGTGGTAAGATTTTAGATTTGATATGATAAACTTATGAACATTGTTCTGGTAATATACAATTACAAGAAAAATCCATATCCTAAATTATTATAAAATTTTAATCATTTACACAAAACATCTGGTGTTGTAGTTGGATTCATAGAAAATACAGCTACCTTACCAGACAAGAGACTCTTAAATACAGCTTTTGCTGTACAAGAGATATGTTAGGTTTAACATTTTTGTTAAGTTGCTGGAGTAAGAAACTGTGAGATTTCTACGCACTCCTTAATAAAATATTAAGAAAGTGAGCCGTTGATGCGGAGATCAGAGCTGTTGCCACGTTACCCTAAGTCATAACTTCAAGTAACTGTAACAGTTTTCAGTAGAAATATAGGGTTCGGCCCAAAGTAGGCCTTCATGAAAGGTCTTTCCTTGACCTTGCGCATGGAGGGATTCTGCCCTTTTTGTATGTTTAAATTTTATAGTTAATATAGTACTTTACCAAGTTATTGAGCGTGCGGGTCACTATGCCGTTGTACTGCATGCTCTTACAATAACATTCATTTTCCATTTGAATAAATCCCTGAACTGAAGAGAAGTTTTGATCGAAGATGGGAAATTTTCTTTGCTGCCTGAGTTTGAAGTATGTTTAGATGGACGTCTGTTTGAAGTAATAGTTCTGATGTGTAACATACTGCTGAATAAAATACTTCCTCATGTTTTGGCAGGAGATGAGCCGTCCAGCAACCACTTCCTCTCTTAAGCGGAAAAAAACAGAGCCGAAATCTCTCTCTGATGCTCTTGGTGACACGGACCAGCGTGTCTTGGAGGTGATAAAGGATACAAAGGATATGGGAATTTGGACAAGAGATATAAAAAATAAGATGAAACTTACAGACCATGTTGTTACTAAATCCCTGAAATCACTTCTGGCTAAAAAGTTGATAAAAGAGGTTGTAAACATCCAGAATAAGGCTAGAAAACATTACATGGCCGTCGAGTTTGAACCGTCAAAGGAAGTTAGTGGTGGCGCATGGTACGTTGAGGGAAAACTTGATACAAAATTCATTAATGATCTTAAAAACATCTGCATGACTATTATTGGGAGGCAGAAAGTTGCGACGTTTGAGGGAATATATGACCTTCTGAAGAAGGTTACCAAAGTGGAGTGTACGGAACAACACGTTGGAGAAATTTTGAACTCTATGTTGCTGGAAAATGAGATCATTGAGGTCAAGAGCACCGGCTGGGGAGAATATCATTCATTTCCTGTTGGGACTCTATGTTATAGGCTTGGAAGCGGAGCTGGTCTTGGAAAAGGTGCTCGAGTTGGTGCAATGGCTTCAATTCCATGTGGTATGTGTCCCCGGATTAACCAGTGCACACCGGATGGAGTTATCTCCCCTGCCACATGTGAGTACTACAAGAAATGGTTGTCAGATCTTAATTTCTAAGGACATAAGATCCTGGGTTTTCTGGCAGTCTGGTGATATCCAATGAATTGAGGATGCAAATCATGCAATTTGTGCGACTGATTCTGGCCTGTTGGGTGTTTTGGTGGAAAAATAGGTGCATGGAACAATGAAATACAAAATGATTGTGCCCCTTAGGGCCGTTAACATGTTGAAGATGGCTTATCAATTTGGATGATTTTCCCTGAGTATTTATTTGGAGGATTTCTGGGGATGCTGATATATGATTAGATACAGTACAAGCTTTCCTTGAACTGAGTAGGCATTAGAATGAATATCTATTTTTCCTTTCTGTCTTCCTTCCTCTTTAAATAATACTCCCTCCGTCCAATTTGACTTTTTATGGATCAAGTTACACATTTATCCTTAGTAAAAACATTATCCATAAAATCTTAGTGGTTAAATAATTATTTATGTAGGGGCATATCCGGTTGTTTAAGGTAAAATATAGTTAAATTTGACCAAAAATAAAATCTTTCATTTTAGTAAAACTGGACAATAATTATGGGACGGAGGGAGTACATGAAGCTCTTTTTCTGCGTTATGTAGCCATGCATTTTCATGCTGCAGTTTACCTTGTGGAAATGCGTTATGCAAATTCTGGATATATTTGTAATCTTCCGCTCTGAAATATCTTACTCTTAACTGTTTATTTCATCATAATCAAGCATCTTTAGAGTTGGTTAATCAAAAACCAAAGTTTCATCAAAGTCTTTTCCTTGTGCTTTAAGTTTTGTCTTGTCGTAGACACAGTTGAAATTATGAATTCCGAGAGGTGAAAGTTTTTTCTTTTCATCTCTTCTTATTCTCGTGCACCCCGCTTTTCCTTCCTAACCTTCCTAGAGTACAAGTACAGCTTTAAGCTACTCCAATTGATTAGATCGGCTTGAATTCCTAATTTCAGCTCAGAAACATAACCATTGTGGTAGGCATTCATTCCATCTGCAGAAATCTCATGATCTATAAATCTGAATGATGGGGGACTATTATCTTACATAATGAAGAAGATCATATTACAAGCAATTCAGTGGACAAAACAGACTTTTCCTTCACAAATATGACTTGGTATGAAGTTTCAAGAGGAGAAGAAATCTAGCAACAGAGCACACACACATCAGCCAACCACTAACTTGTTTTTGCTACAGTGATGTTCATGAAGGAACAATTTGAGTTTCCAAGTCCGATGCTTCTTTCCTTTTGGCCTTCTCTTTCTCAAGTAAGTACATTCTCTCTGCTTCGGGCATTGTTGATATAATCGTTTGCAGTTTATTGTTTAACTCTTCTAGCTTCGCCATAAGCCTGTCATTTGTAAACATACCGAGTGCAACGCTTTGAATGGTTTCCCAGCTTTCTGAGATTGGTAAAACTATAATTACAGCTGATGCAAGAGTACCCCATCCAATAGCTATGACTGCCCAGAATGTGAAGTATCCTTGGTTAAACTGACCTGCAATATTTTTTTAATAAAAAATTTCAGAAACATATGGAACTTGAAAAAACAGGTAAGCTGCATTTGTAGATACCATTGACTGAATATTCTAGGCACTTGTTGAGATGGTATTCAGAACATGCATATTTTTAGGTGCATATTTTACTCTGAACTGTTTGAATTTTGATTTGGGTGCATATCAGATTTACCTATTTGGTGCTATCATCCTAGAAAGAAACAGAAGCTAACTTATAGTAGCAACATCACTCGGTATCTTTTTCAAATCCTAAAAATTCTGTCCCTTTCTGAAATGAACTGTAACGTCATATGGATTGTATTTGTTTTAACAGCTTTAAAGAGGAAACTAATTTTCTTGTATACATTTAGTGAAGAACAGAAGATATAATCTGAGATGAATGTTGTTCGCGTACCTGCAGGAAGTGTAAGAAGAGGCCACAGTATCACAATCACAATGGTAAAACCGACACCCCATTTGATTATCCAAGCTTTCGCTCTGGTCAATTTCTCTTCTTTGAACTCTTCAGCTGGCAAGTCACTTTTTTCCTTCTCAACCGTAGTTATTTTTTTGGTAGTGTCCCAGTCATAATTCTGAGGCCATAGGAAACTACAAAAAGCATGAACAGCTCCACCGGTAATTATGGACACGAGGTTTCCAGCCAACATAGGTGCATTTCTACCTGTTGTATCAAGATTTACCCTTCCATACTCAACTTTCGTGACTGTCAACCATGTAATGATTCCTAAAATACAGCCAGTAATAGTTCCAAGAATAGCGCCAAAGGCGTTTGCTTTTCGCCATAGAAGCATAAAAGCTATAGGAACAACTGCTGAGCCGATGAAAACTCCCATTGCAAGATACATCCATCCAAGAGAAACACCGGCTTTGTTTAGAATAACAGCTAATATGCCCATAAAACATCCAAAACACAGAATGACACCTCTGGATACTTTTAGGATTTGCTTGCCTGTTGCATCTGGATTTATATATGTTCGGTAGATGTCATAAGTGCATAATGATGAGACAGCAATCAGTTCAGATGAACCAGCAGAAGTTACAGCCCTGTTCAATGAAATGTTTCAGAGGTAATCATACTGTAGCAACACATAATTTATGTGTCTGGGAAGATCTTAAGGAATTTCTCACTTACATAAAAAGCATGGTGAGTAGAAGAACAGATCCTCCTTTTCCCATTAAGGCAATGGCTGTAGCTGGAGGAACAAGCCCGTGGCTTGCCTCACTTGCTGTTAATGGCAGATCTAAAGCCAATGCTCCAATACCAAGTGAAGTTGCCAATGAGAATGGAACAGCAAACCACACTAATCCACCCAACAGATAACCCTTGTGGGTGGATGATGGTCTTGCTGCAATAGCACTAACCCAATAACCCTGTAATTTCAGAGGCAGATTTTTCATTCAAAACATCTTAAACCTGTCTGATGAAAAAAGTTGAGGGATACATCACTGTAATGAGAACTTACATTATCAACAAAAACTGTTCCAAAATTTCCAACAATATTGATTATCCCAAAAACTAGACCTCCAGAACTCAACATCGTAACATAAGAGCCCTTGAAATTCCCACTTACTGGACCACAAGATTGGCCAGTGTGAGAAAGTGGCTCTTGACAACTTCTTGATTTGCTAGCAACCTCCAACAAACGTCGGTAGACAGTGGTAGGGCTGCCAAGCTCACTGCTTGCGACATAAACTAGGTATACAAAGACGACCAGTACCACATGTACTGCAACACAGAAGGAAGGATAACAAACATCTAATATCAATCGGAAGCCTAATAGATTTAATTGTTTTCAAATCTTTAACAACTTTATTTGTCATTTTTCTTTAATTTTGTAATGTACCTATTACTGAATGTATGTAGCTGGCCAAGAAAGTGGCTTTTAGCCCTCCGGCTAAAGTGTAGACGATTACACCGAGTGGAATGAGAAAGCTTGCAGCATATAAGTTGACCCCAGTGAGTGCATTCACAACAGCAGAGCCACCAAGCAGAAGCATGGCCGTCACGATGATATTTGTCATAAAGCAGAAAGCAAGAAAGACAAGATGAGCAGCAGTTCCCCATCTGATGAGCCAACGAGTTTATCAGAAGATAGGTAAAAATTTTCAGACGCTAACTTTTTCTATGCAAGTAATTACAGACCTGGCTCTCACTATTTCACAGACTGTGTGCGCATGTGGAGCTTTCCTTTTGATCTCTATAGCCATAACACCAAACAAGAGGACCTGTTTTATTTTTCAACATAGTGAATCTCTGTTTTCTTGCATCAAGAACTCAAATATGTACATTGCAAATGCTGTTGAAACACGGCAAATATCACCGATACCTGGATCGTGGCACCACTTGCATACCAAAACGGACCACTGATACCATATTCCCAGGCAACATTTGAGCTTTGTAAGATTGTAGCAGCCCATGTCCACTGCAAGAACAAGTGGCTTGAAACTGAATTAATATAATATCCCTTCAAACTCATTTTACCGGGAAGAATCAACATAAGCGATTCCTAGTTGATACCTGAGATACTATAACACTTGCAATGAGTCCTGTCTTAACATTTCTCCCTGCTGTATTGAACCATTCTGATGTGTGACGAGATCCAACGTACCGCTTTTCTAACCATACCTGATGCCACAGGAGCTTTAATTATGAAAAAAAAAAAAAAACAGGAATACTGACTCTTGTTACAATTGTTGTGACCAAATCATCTGACACTCACATGCAGATTAAAATTCTTTGTTACAGTGAAATCTGTTTCCTTTGTTATGGATTTTAGACCGAATTAAAAATTCGCGGAATGATGAGTCCCTGACTGATATCAAAACAGAATATGAAAAACAAATCTTATCAGAGAAATTCTTTTTGTTTTGAGTAAACAGCGTCATCCTCTGATTGCATGATACTAGACCATATCAAACAGAAAAAAAATAAAAAATAAAAATCCCAGAGTACTAAAATGATTGTACAGTTAGTGGTGCAAAAGACAATCCTTCTGGGACAGAGGCCGGAGGGAGTGTATTGAAAGAGTAATCAAACACATTAAATGAACAGTTCTATCAATGTCTTTCCACTGAATACTGCTTAAGGCAGATAGTTGATAATCTAAACAGTTCCACTATGGTAAAAAACAGAGTTTTTTGCTTGTAAACATTTCACACTTAAAAGGGAAACAGAGCTAGTGACATATAATAAAAAAAAAGAAAAAAAAATCACCAGGAAAGAGGTGAAGACTGCAAAGAATGCCCCAAAACCAAGAATCACAGAGTAGCCAACCCCTTGATTCAACACGGGTTTCCCTCCAAAGAAACTGTTGTCCCTCACACAAGTGCTCCCATCAGTGGAGGGATGGTAGTACTTGGCTGAAAATTGGAAAGGTGGACAAGATGATGATGGTGAAGCCATAGAGAAAAGTCAATAGGAATCTTTTAAGAGGAATCTAACTTTGTTAGGCAAAACCATATGTTTGCCAATGTACTATTATATAGGCCCACGAGAATAGCCTCTTGCATGGGTGACGTTTGGAGAATTTTCCAATAATAGGGATTTTGTCTTGTTGATTGGAGAGGGTGAGGAATTCTATTGGAGTTTGGAAAGCTGTTATCTGTTGTCACTATACTTCGTGTTTGCCTACTACTACTAAGGAACCAAGTCCTTACCAGCTAGCCAATAAATGATTTTTGATGTTTTTATTATCATCGACCGGAGAGGTTCAAGGGCCTATGATCATCACTTTTACCGTCTCGTTCAATCCCTCCTATCGAATGACCTTAATAATCAATGTATTATTCCTAGTCAGGTTTGTCAGAGTTGGAAGTTAATGAAAAGGATTACTAATAAATTAATCCTCTTCACATTGCTCAAACATATATGGTATTACTTGTATGCAATGAATGGTTTTTATTTCAACCAACACTTGCTTGTGTCCAAAGTGGTAAGGTGCTTTGGTTCCCTTAAGTGAGGTCTCAGGTTCGAGTTTCGTGAATGGAAAGAGCAATATTAAGAGAGCTTTCCCTCCGAAAGGAGACCAACCCGACTCGGTGCGAATTAGTCTGAGTGCAATGCACTTAAGACACTATGCGCAATATGAAAAAAAAAAGTTTTTGTTTTAAGCTATTTCAGAGTTTATATTTGTAAGTCAAAATATCAGTCACTTTCATGGGGCTTTTGCTTGAATCATATGTATGCTTTACTAAAAATCAACGATATGTGTAACTATGTAATTTAAAGAGGGGGGAGAGTGCTTATGAAACAACGTGTGAAGATTTTTGGGTTGCGAAAAAAAAATGTAATGAAAATGATTGATTCATAGTTATAGGAGGGAATTTTAGGGACATAAGAGAAAAAAGAAATTACATTTTTTCATAACTAGTGAATTCGAACCGCAATGAGACAAGTTACATAGAAGATACTTTTATTTCTCTCCGGTTGACTCGGTTTATAGTATCATGGCACTGAATGGTGATTGGTTGATTCTTTGGACTTTGGAATCTTTAGTATATATCCTAGTTTTCTTGTCAAAATCCTGGAATCATTCAATTATCGAAGGAATCTTATTGGTTGGGGGCATCAAATAGGTGTTTGCATTGATGAAAAAGTCTAATAGATTCCGTGCATTCAGAATCTAAAAGTCGGATGCACATTGACATGAGGTATTCGAATTAGCTACTTCTAGTTATTTCACACAAAAAAAAAGGAAAAAAAAAGAAAAGAAAAAAACTAGTTGCCACAAAGTTATAAACAAGAAATGAACTTTTAATTATATAATGAAGTGGCTAAATTCATATCGTTTCATCCTTGATGTGGATTTGTGTACCTTAGTATAATTGGAAAGTAACACATTATATCAACGAGATTTTAAAGAAACAAAAATGGTCTAGTTTTATTCTTTTAGATGCGAATTTCCTTTTTTTTTTTTTCCGGCTGCATTGTTTTATATACTCTTAAGGCGAACCAAGAGTGTATTGCAGGGATTTATATATTGTCTAACACTTTGCATCATTATATGGGAACAATAAATTGTATAGCCGGTGATTCGTTCTTGATATATAGTCACTCATGATTAAGAGCTTCTATTAGCTTTATTTCAAACTTCATTATTACTTCATTTGTATGAATCTTAGAATTTACTTTTAGTTGCAAGAAGAGCATGATAAGAAGTGTACAAAAGTAAATTCATCCCGTGACATAGAAGTACGAGTAATGTGGTATAATAGTATAAGAATATCATTGATTATATTTCACTTATCTAAAATGTAAGCGTGGGTTTATACTTATTAAAGTAACAGTGAGTTTACTTATTAATTCTTCAATTTGCTCTACATGATTTTCCGAGTCGTCTATTTACCATTTTTTTTTCTTTTAATAGAATCAAGGCGGTACCTAGCGGAATTAAAAGTCGTCTATTTACTCTTTTAACCATTATTCATTAAAATATTGGGATCAAAAGTCAGAAGTAAACGATAAGAATGACGCATTAATACTTAATCTGGCAAACTTGTGGTGTAATTCACCGCTTTAGGAACTTACAACATGGATTAGTTGACTATGGGTGTTGCTCGACGAATTGACAAAAAGTTGACAAAAACCAAGTGGCTTAAGGGTATGATTTTATACAAACAATTGCATTATTATACATGTTGATGTAATAGAAGAAAGTGAATAATAATAAGGACAAATGGAAATGATGAGTTTGTCAACGAGCAATTTATCTAAGCTATATATTTGAAGAAATGGTAACTTGATGCTCATGATGTAATCGGATACCGCAATCTGTTAATTTGATAAATAATTTTATGCCTTTTCTTTCTTTTCTTTTTTTTTTCTTCTATAAGAGTACAAAGAAAAGATAATTGGTAATTTGATGTGTAATTTTGAATTTGTTACCCTCAAAATCTTACTATATATTAAATGAATTTTTTTTTCAAAAGACATATGTAAGTCAATTAGATCATCAATAATTTTCAAATACAAGTGTCATTTTTTCGTTTGTTTAGAATTTTTTCAAAACACGTGTCATCTTTTTATTGGGTATTATATTTTCTGGACTTTTAATATGTATTTTACAAAGTAAAATGGTTAAATTTATTAAATTAACTTTCACCATCATCGGTTAATTCCTTAGACCAATATCCCGCAACTGATCGACTAAATCAATCAGGCAATCTTCATCTTCATCCATCAAACCCTAATTCCCCCCAGCGCCACCACCATGCCAATCTTCAAATTCACCTTCAACAATCAAATTGAAGCCCCAACCGAAGCTATCACCTGAACCAAAGCAGCCGGCATCCAAAGCCGGAGCTTACGGATCGTCAATCCGCCACCGCCATCAGATATGCCGTCGGAGAATTCAAAAATCAAAGAAGGCGGCAGAGAGGCAGAAGGGGAGGCTAAAGAAGCAGGGGAAGAGGATGAAGACAGAGAAATGTGTGTTTTTCATATTTATGAAAGGCGGTGGTTGAGCCAAGGAGTTTATTGCGCGGGAAAAGTGTTTTGAACTCACCTCTGTCTTGAAGAAGTTTATGGAAGCTCCGTGATTATTATGCTCCAATTTTGGATGCTGAGAAGGCCAAGAAGAAATTCGAGGAAGAGCAAGAGAGGGAGAAATAAAAAAAGGGCGGCTGAAAAGAAAAAGAAAATGAGAGAAGAAAGATCAAAAAAGTGTGGCGGCTGGATCTAGGTAAGGGGAATGGGGTGGGATTTGGGTAGGGCTTTCTATTTGAAGTTTACAAAATTATGTTATGACCCCATAATTTATATCATAGTAATGAAAGAATCTGAATATATAAGATATATTCAGATTTTAACAAATCTTTGTAAGACAGTCTCTTTCCCTTTGGGTAAGTCTTAAGCACTGCCAGTGTATTCTTTCTTTTTAATTAATAAAATTGGGGGAATGCCCGCCAGGTACCGTCCTAGATTCACATAAAAAAAAAATATGAATATATAATATAATATTTAATTGGTTACTAGATTTCTTATATCATAAAAATTTATTATTCCATGTATAATATTATCATATATATTTAAATTAATATATTACTCCCTCCGTCCCATAATTATTGTCTAGTTTGAGTTTTCATTTTTAGTTTAAAGTGTACTAAAAGTAAAATCTCAAATTGGACAATAATTTTGGGACGGAGGGAGTATTATTTTATTATTATGACATCATCCGATTATTAAGAGCAGTTGAACCGGTCTGAACCAGTAAAAAAGTGTAGCAACCAACTTTACTATTATACAGTGTAATATAGGTCCCAACTCATAACCAATAATAAAATCAAACATTATCAATAAAATAATAAAATAATATTTTTTTCAAATTTTTTTTATATATAAGTATAGTTCTCCTCAAAAATATAAATTAAAAATGATCTAAAATACCAACAAAAACCTAAGATTTTGAAGAAAAAAAATAAGAGGTCCTTGAGCTTTGTTTGATTTTTTTTTTTTTTTTTGGAAATTTACAATTTGGAAAATTTTTTATCTTTTGGTTATATTCAAAAGCTCTAAAGTCATCTCAAATAAAAAAAATTGGATGTTATTTCCTGATAGAATTTAAAATAATCATTTAAATTAATAATTTATAAACTCATTTTATAAAACAAAAAATTTATCGATAAAATAGTAATATCTACAAGATTAATAAAATTTTATGGCCCGACAATACTAATTTAGAGAGTTTTAATAGATGAAGAAGAAATGTCTTATTGAATGTGTAAAAAAAATTAAAATACATACTAATAAAATATTAATTTATCGATAAGTATTATCTTTGAACAAATAGTTCTTGCTTATTATTATGTCTCTTTTTTCTTTTGGGTTCAACGAGATGCTAAAATACTAAAATAGCAGTCAAAATCGTTCCAGGTATTTAACCTACCAAAGACAAAGAACCTTTTAAGCAGGACGATGCAGGTTGAAAGATTGTTAAAGATGAAAATGTAGATCTAATGAGACCTTCTACTTTTATTATTTTTTAGTTTGATGGACTGCCAGAAATACTTAAATATAGAATTTTTATTTTTAGATCCAATTTCAATAATATTATTTGAATTTTTCTTCTTTTCATTGCGTGTTTTTATGTCTTATAAATTTTAATATTTTTATTCCTTGAGAACAACTTTGTAGAGGCTCAAACCTCACAGGTTCGGATGTACAAGGGCAATTTGTATAACCCGTTTGTGTGTTGGATTAAGCAGCGCTGCTGCTTCCGAAGAAATATTTTCTTTCATCTCCTCTGGCATGTTATATTTGACTAAGATTTCAAATTAGTATTGGAATTGAGTGATTTTATTGTTTTCAATGAAAACTATTTATGAATTGACTGATTGTGGACATAAGTAGAGTTTTTATACATTTCAATTTGATTGGCAGTTATTATAAGTAAATTAAATACCAACATAAATTTGAACTCTCATTTGACAAACCTTACGAGAATGAGTCAATTATTATTATCTTTCCTCTTTTGGTTATTAAATTCCAAATTCGAACAGATTAAGATATTTTAAAGTGAAAAATCTTTTATTTTCAAATATAAATATATGGAGATTCATTCATTCATTTTGTTATGCCTCCTACTAATTTAGATTAGTAGTAATGAAATGACCTAAATATTTAACATAATATTTTAATAGGCAACCACATTTCATAGTATTTCATAGAGTATAATATTGTATAAATAAATATAAAACTTAAAGTTAATATATCTCCATATATATATATTAAAAGAATTATTTTCAGAGACATATGTAATTGAAT